AAAAAAAAAAAAAAAAAAAAAAAATTGAAATAAGTCAGGAGATGGTGAAATGAAAATATCTCTTTAAGATTTGTTATTATGCATGGAAAAGAAATGCACATATTTATTTATTTATTTTTATGTATTTGGTACAGAGTCTCACTACACAGCTCAGACTCGTAGTGATTCTTCTGTTTTCAGCCTCCCCAGCATTGGGATGACAGGCGTGTGCCACCACACTCGGTCTCAGTGGCCAGCTGGGCTGGTACGGCAGGTGGTACCAGGGATCAAACCCTGGTCCCTGTGCTTGTCTAAGAGGCGCTTAGTCCACTGAGCTATCTTACTGGCCCTAAAAAGCACATTCTTAAAAAAGAGAAAAAATGGACAAAATATTAACCATTTAATGTGGTTTTTTAAAAGGTATATAGATATATATATTTGGATGCCCAGTATTTTACCTTTTAAAAAGCTGGGCTGGCCACCTCAGCAGGAAGGCATCTCCCTGCTGCTTGCGGGCCCTGACTCCCACCTCTGCACCGAGACACTGTCGCAGCAGGTGTGGAGAAATAACATACTCACTGTTCCGTGTGCTGCTGCAGACTATGTAGTACAGCAGGGGCGTTTGTTAATGTGGGCGTTTGGCAGCGGGTGACCACCCTCTTTTTATAAACCAATGGAAGACAGACTGATGTAAAGCTACGCTGTACTGCTTTATCCTGTGATGCTGAATAACCTCGTACCCTTCCTAGCCTGAGGGAAATAGAAGAGCGGCTGCACGGGCTGAAGGCGTCCTCCATGACACAAGCCCCTGCCTTAAAATTTAAGGTAAGGAGCAGTGATCAGTTCTTCATTACTTAAGCAGTTAAATGTTTATGGTGCACGTGCTTAATTGTGAATAGTTATTGAATATATGTCATGTGTTGGACACTGTTGTTTCCTGGGTTCTATAAAGAAAAGAATAGAGAAGTCAGTCCCCAACCTCAGAATACGGACCATAATATCCTTTGTGCCACTTGCGGTGTGCACAAAGATACATGTGTGGAAGAAGGAGGTTTTAATTTTCTCTGGAAAATTTACAAGCAGTGACATCTGTATTTGATCTCAATAGGTTAAATTTTGCAAAGCAGAAGAGTGGAGAAATGTTATTCAGTATAAAAGGAACATGTAAACACAGGTATGCCAGGCATGGTGGCACATGCCTGTAATCCCGGCACTCAGGAGGCTGAGAATTCCAAAGCAAGACCCTGTCTCAAAAAAATAAAGATATATAGAGCGATGTAACTTTATAGCACCTTAGGAAGCCCCAAATAATTTGGAGGAGTGGGAAGAAAAGTAGAGACAAATGTAGGAAGTGTGTACTTTGTAGGATTTTTTTTTTTTTTTTTTTGTGGAACCGGGGATTGAACTCAGGCCCTTGCACTTGCCAGGGAAGCACTTACTCCACTGAGCCATCTCCCCGGCCCTTGTGACAGTCTAGTTGACCAGAGTGAGAATAGTGGAAGGAAATGAGCCATGATTGCAGGAATGGAGAACTGCATTTCAGTCCCTCCAAGTGGGAGAGAAACCCAAGGCAGATGGGCAGGTCTAGTCTGCTGCAGCTTGCAGGACTCAGCAGTAAGGACGTTGCATCTGAAGTGAGCAGTGGGAAGCTGGCTTTTGAGCATCAGAATCACCTGTTAAAGGCAGTGATGCTGGGGAAATAGAAGGTAGCCCAGAGCTGTGGACGCTGACTTCGACCGTCGGAAAGGGCAGCCCTGGAGCTGAGCAGCGGGTGACTCAGGTGCAGCAGGAGACGGAAGATGCCCTGCGCTTCCTGACACCCATTTCGTATAGGTGTATTCCTGTCTAGCGCTCCGTATTACCTCTCGCGGAAATGTGTTTCTCAGATCACGTGAACTAAACATACAGGTCTCTTCCTTCACTCCCTGTGGCACACAGCCCTCCTCTAACGCCTGCACGTCCTCAACAAGCAGGATGGTCTTGACTCTAGTGCCGTTTCTCTGGTGGGGATCCTTAGAGTTGGATGACAGCATGGCAAGTTCCATAACTCTTGTCCTGTAGCCTCAGCGCATATTCCATGTTAAAGCCAACCTCACATTGCATGCGCAGCTGATAGGACCGCTGTCCTCACAGTCAGCCAGACCCACACCTGGTCTGTCACCCACTCCGCCTCTGTTGTCTCCAGGCCATCCTTTGGATTCCGCTCAGTCCTCCCATTTCCACTGCTAGAACAGCTTCTGCCCTGCTCGAGGTGATCTCTTCCCTCTGTTTCTGCCCGTAGAGTCCTATCTTCTCTCCATTTTCTACTTCCTCCATACATTTAATTCCTAGTCCGCCTTCCTTAGTCAATCAAAGCTCTCTGAATATTGTCGTCCTAGGCTACATTTTCCCCACACACACAATTTTTCCGTCATTGCCTTCTTTTCTCAAAAACAGACCAGGTGCTCTCTGGCCCCTGCTGTAGCTCACATGGCTTTCAGTCTGGCAGTCATTCTTCCCCGCCTAGTGTCCCCACCTCAGCTGTGGAAATCCTGTTCTGCCTTTTCTGGCCACTGCCAGCACTGCCTCCTCTCTTGTGTGTGTGTCCTCCTCCATCTCCCCACAGCGAGATCAACTCGGGTGCGGAGCTCTGCCTTACTGGTGCTGATTGGTCCTCCCCATCACAGCACCTAGCAAGGAGGAGACTCGGGGAATCTCGTCACTGTGGAACACGCCCAACAGCGTGCCCTTCTGCCCTTTGCCCTTAAATAATGAAATTCCTCCTAAAGATAGATTATTCTAGAATGCTCAGGAGTTGTCAAATAATTAAAGCTTATTAAAAGAAGTATACTTAGAGACAATCATTTGTGTTTTACTCTACAACATGTACGAAAGTTTCTTGAAAATAACACTCCACCATGTTTTAAATGTAGGATGGCTTTGTCATTTTAGGTTGAAAATTTCTTCTGCATGGGATCCCCACTCGCAGTGTTTTTGGCGTTGCGTGGCATCCGCCCAGGCAACACTGGAAGTCAAGACCATATTTTACCTAGAGAGATTTGTAACCGCTTACTAAATATTTTTCATCCGACAGATCCAGTGGTGAGTTGCACTGCAGACTTTTTTTTCCTCAGTATTAGATTGTTCCTAAAAGAATCCAACAGAAACCTTAGTGGGTACCAGTGAATTAATAACAGCAGAAGCTCATCTGTCTGATTCGTTTGCAGAACTGAGTTTTAGTTCATCCAGGGTTCACGAAGTGAAATACCTTAGAGGTGATCTGTGTATATCGTGCCTCAGTATAAAAATATTATCTGGACAATTAATACAAGGCACAGGAGTCTAGTACATTCTCAGACTATCCAGTTGTGATACCAATAACCATAAATCTTAAAAACCCTACTTATTTTTTCTAAAGCATACTACAATGCTGAAATATGTTGTATCACCTTGAAAATATGCAAGTATTACGTATCACATGAAAAGGTAGTATAGTTTATGAAGTGTAAACTAATTGGCTTTTTTCCACTGTTTATTGAATCTGTATTGTAAATAATGTGTTTTAATGTCAATCCTCCAAAGATCTTATGTTCAGGATAACAGTTTATACCAGATAAGTTGCTTTACAGAGGGAAAGAGCAGTCTGGGGGTGCAGCTCAGGCCAGGTGTCTGCTTGGGGGGCCCGAGCTTGCTCCTCAGCACCACCCAGAGAAACTATTTCCTTTAATCCCTTGAAGGGCAAGCCTGACGATATCTAAACGGTAGAACCAGCTATGTTAAATGTTATTTATTCTCAGAAGATTAGCTTAATTATAGTTTTCTAAAAGATCTTTAATACCAGGAACTTTTACATGAGCACCTAAATCTTGTAAAATCACTCATATGATAAAGACTTATCGCCATCACATTTTAAGAAATGACTTATCAGGAACCGAACAGCTAGAAATGAACTTCAACTAGGATTATAACTGGAATCTCACATTAGACTCAAATACGGGCTATCCGGTCTTAGCCAGTCACTTCTGAGGTGTACCTTACCTACATGATGTAGATAATATTTCACCTTACAGGGTTACTGAGATTGAGTAAAGTATATATAAAAAGCCTTGCTAGAGCGTGAGCATTTTAGTACTACACCCTCGTTTCACCCATTGTCTCCTAACATGAAAAATGAACTCGTCTCTAGTTCGGTTTGCACTTCAGATTGTTGGGTACTAGGAATGGAACTCGGGCCCCCTGTGCAAAGTACCCCCAGCTCCTCCAAGTTCTGTTAATGCTTTTTGTTATTTTGTGCAAACAGTGGTAGCCAGTTTTTACAAACATTACCTGTTCTCTTTTACATGATACACAGGAAGAAAGGGCCTCCTTTCTACAGCCAGAGTACAAACTTTGCTGCTTCATCATACCTATGTCACGTGCGACAGACGGTCTTTTGTTGGTGTTACTGTGTTACTCTGTTTGAAAATTAAGTTCAATCCAGGTGTGGTGGAACACGCCTATAATCCCAGCATTCAGAAGGCTGAGGCAGGAGGATCATTATGAATTTGAAGTCAGCCTGAAATATATACCAAGACTACCTTAAAAACCAAAAAGGACAGAAGGGAAGCAGGGAAGGAGAGAGGTTGAGCTTAATAAGATACTCTAAAATACTAAAAATTGACCTTACGTGGTGTGTTCCAGATTGTAGTTTGTTGCATTTTGGGGAGGTTTACATAAACTGTTAAAAGAGATCAGAATATAATAAAAATCAATCTATTTCTCTGAAAAATAAATTATTAGGCATGATTGGCCTCAGCTAACTTCAGCTCCTTTTTTTAAAAATAATCTCTGCAGTACCTGCCTGGCAAGTGTAAGGCCCTGAGTTTGACTTCCAGTGCCAAAAAAAAAAAAAAAAAAAAAAAAAAAAAAAAAAAAAAAAGTAAACAAAAAAAAAAAACCCAGAACCTAAAATAATCTCATTGAAGATATATAATTAGACCAACCTCATATTGTCAACGAACACATGTTTCAACTACATATCCATTTTTTACAGTTCTCTCAGGTCTACTCAGTATGCAGTAGAAAAATAATAACTGCTTTGCTAAAATCCAGGCATTAAGCATTAATGTTGTGTTCTTTGAATTTTTTTATATCCAGGCTTACAGATTAGAACCATTGATACTGAAACACTACAGCAACATTTCACCTGTGCAGATCCACTGGTACAATACTTCAAACCCTCTACCTTACGAACACATGAAGCCAAGCTTTCTCAACCCAGCCAAAGAACCTACCTCAGTTTCAGAGAATGAAGGCATCTCCACCATACCCAGCCCTGTGACCTCACCGGTCCTGTCCCGGCGACACTACGGAGAATCTATTACCAATATCGGCAAAGCCAGCATCCTGGGTAATTTTTCGTGCATGTTCCTCAGGACAGAAACCTGTTTTGCGTGGATATGAAATTTGAGGGGTTGAAAATGCTCTGTGCAGCCGGCCTCCTAGCGTGAGGTTCCGGAGTGAGGAACAGGAAGGAGCTCCGCGCGCTCAGCCCAGAGCAGGTCCTGCACTTCTCAGGGTGTTAAGCAGCCGGCGGGCCAGAAGCAAGCGCGGTTGTGCGAGCGAGCAGGTTCCGAGTCAGTCCGCCCTGGCCGCTTCGTGGGAAACCCGCAGCGCCTCCTGGGTGCCAGGGCTGCGCCGCCCCTCCGTGGGAGGGGTGCCAGGCAGCCGGCGCTCGCTCGGGCCCGCGCTGCGCCTGCAGCCTGCAGCCGAGTGCTCGCCCAGGGCCACGAAGACGGTGCCCCAGTGCGCCAGTGGCCGAGGGTGTAGTCTCTGGTCCTCGGGTGCCCCCTGAAGCTGTTGGTCTGGTTGCGGGGTGCCTGGATGTGAAGAGCCACACGGTGGCGCTAGAGCCAGGCGACAGCCGCGGGCCTGCCGTCTCATCGCACGGGTCCTGGCAGTGGCTCTTCGTGCCTTAGCCACAGACTCATTGTAGTGAGCATGCGCCCACGTCCACGGTGTGGCTCTTTCAGTAGAAGTTTTAATTTTGCCAAATGTTTTAATAACAGTGACTTGAACGTCTCACTCCTCTGTGTGCGTTCCTGTGTGCTGCAGGCCTAGACTTCGTGCCGCTCTCCTCTTCAGCACCATTTGTGTTTAGAAACCTGCAGTCTGTCTTATGCCCCCGCCCCGGGAAAACATGGCTAGGGCTTGCTCCCCGCCAGTGGGTGGTGCTCCCGGCCCCAGTGCGCTGGCTGGCACAGTGACCCCTCTCTTGTGGCACGCAGGGGCTGCGAGCATCGGGAAGGGGCTCGGAGGAATGCTGTTCTCCAGGTTCGGGCGCTCGGCGGCCTCGCAGCCCGCGGAGCTGGCCAAGGACGCCGTGGAGGACGAGAAGAAGCCCGCCGCGCCGCCCCCCACCTCCACGGTGGCCACGCAGACCCTGCCACCCAGCGCGTCCGGCTTCCTGGACTCCGCATGTTAGTTCCTACCGTTCTTTCCTAGAGGTTTTACTGGTGGCTTCTGGAAATTTGAGGAGGGCAGGAGAGTGTAAGACATTCCACGAGCAGACAGACTTTAGCTTTTAAAGAAAATTGCTTTCCTTCCACTTATATTTTTAAGAATACTTTCCAGATAAATGTAATTTCAGTTTCTGCATTAGGTGATTAATAATAGTTCGATCATTAATAATCAGGATCTTTTAGCATAAGGATCTAAAATATCAAGCAAAAACACATCTCTTCAGGGTAAGTACTTCTTTGCGGTTTTGCGGTACGGGGATTAAGCTGTGGCCTTTGCGCAGAACTGTACCCCCACCCTTGCTATTTTGAGACAGGGTCTCACTAAGTCTCTTTACGCCCAGGCAGGGCTCAAACTTGTAATTTTCCTGCCTCAGCCTCCTAGAGTGCTGGGATCACAGCCCTGCCATCGCACCCAGCTGTCCTGATTCTTAAAAATTATATTTTTACTAATAAATACTAATATGATCTGAGTCTTAAAAGTTCATGTAACTGCTTCAGCTCTCCTATATCTGATGTTGAGAGGGTTTGTTTTAAAAGATTACAACATAGTAAAAGAAAAGTATTAGAAACCATACAAAATTTCATTAAAGTTACAGGAATTCAAAAATGGTTGCTGTAGTACATGATGTTATCATACAAATTAGTTGTTTAGGTTAGCAGATATAAACCTGCAAAATTGGTTACAAAAGCAAGACAACAAGAACAAAAAAGTTACAAGAAATTAAAAAGAACAAAAATAAGAAAAGAAAAAACTCCTAAGCATTTAACTGCTCCTTTCAAAAGCCCAGCAGAAATCCACGTGGAGGGTTTATGCCCAGGCTGTCCTGCTGCTAATGCCACAGCACCCCTCAGCCCCGAAGCCACCAGATCCGCTCTGTGGCCCCCGCCCTTGCCCGACCACCTGGCATACGTGGAAGGTTCCAGACGTGAGTGCTTGGAGCGCTGTGCTGGACTTCGTGTCAGAGCTTTTTAAGTGTCAAGTGAAATAAAACTAGTACAAGACCTACTTTTTTATGACATTTAAGAAGAAGGAGAGATTTGAAACTGCTACCTTTATGTAACAAGAAGAAAACTTTTGCTTTCTTTCTCTAAAAATTTTTCGGTATTTCAGTTACTCGCAGCCTTATAGTCTCGCTGTGTCTGCTGCTTTAAGTTGTCGGTGTTCTCGGCCATTCATAGTCTCAAGACTGGCAACAGAACAGCCACTTAGGAGGTGAGCTCAGGTGGAACAGCTCTGCCTGCTGCCCCTCCTCCTCAGCCCCTGCAGGGGAATTGTCAGTAAGGCTCCGCGGGAGAATCGACCAGCAGCACCTTTTAATCTTAACCACACTCGAAAATTTTATGATGCTCTTTTAAATACTATCTAGAAAATTCTTCTTCCACTTTATGTAAAACTCAATTTAGTTTTCTGGAAGAGTTTCTAAACTATTACCAACTTAAGTTCTAATTTTTGCTTAACATTAGCAATATAATTGTGAACATATAAAATTCTATGGAGACATGCAGACGTCAAAAGAAAGCTCTAACTTATGGGAAAAATTAACTTCAGAGAATTTTGTGGGGTGTCAGTTGAAAAGTCACAGCTCTTTGTAACTTGAGTAATGCATAAAACCTGTGCTAATAAACACTGGCATAGTTAGGGGCTGGGGAGATGGCTCAGTAGAATAAGCGCTTCCCTGGCAAGTGCAAGGGACTGAGTTCAATCTCCAGTTCCACCAAAAAAAAAAAAAAAAAAAAAAACATTGGCGTGGAAGAGGGCCTGAGGTGTGGAGCACACCAAAATCCCAGCTTCTGGGAGGCTGAGGCGGGACTGAATGCTGCAAGTTCCACGTGGGCAATTTAGCAAGACCCTGTCTCAAGTTCGGGGTATAGCAAGCACTGTCTGGGCTCAATCCTCATTGGGAGGGGTGGGGGCATGTAAGAGAAAACAGAGTGGAACTGTGGAAAAATTAATTGAAGTATAGAATCTGAAGGAAGAAAAAAGTTAGTTTAGTTTTGTCTGCTTTGCTTTGGTTTGTTTTTTACTACTTAAAATATTTCCAACTGATCACGGGAAGCCTGTTTCATCGGGAACGGTAGAGGCACTTAGCTTAACAACACACGTGCTCCACTATTCTTCCTTCTCAGTTCTTTGCTGCTTCTAGCGGCAAGTTAACTCAGTCTGAGGTAGTCGTGAGCCCTACGCCAGATCTTTATCTCTAGTTACAGACGCAGTTATTCAAATGGAACAATTACCATAGCAACATTCTACCTTCTAAAAGAGTGCCTCCTCCCTCACTAATTCTTTGGCTTGCTTCTGTTACTGTTCTTTGTGGTCCTGAAGTCAGCCAATGCTTGCATCCTAATTGCGGGCTTGGCTATGTCTCGCAAATCTAAAGCCTTCTGAAATCTGGGGGGTGCGACTGCTGGGATGAGGCGGCCGCTCCTTTTCTTCCCTTCCCTTGACGCCTCTGCTTCTGGGTGGCCTGTGTTCTTCCGCCCGCGTCGGCCTTGCCGTGGTCGCGGCTCTGCTCTGCAGTGTGCGCACTGACGCTGTTGTTGCCGAGCTGGCGTGTGTTCTTGCTTTGAAAGCACAGGCCTCTTCTCGGGGTTCTGTGGTGCGTGCCCCTGTGTTTGGACCATGTTAGGAGAAGAAAGCTGTTTCTTCCAGCACGGTTTGCCTCCAGATTAAAACCTAAACTAGCTATAAATTTGAAGAATGTCTAGGATTAACAGGCTGTATTTCACAGTTAATTACGCTTACACTCTTGCTGAGGTAGCTTTCCACAGAAAGCCCAGGTCTGCGTCGGTCCGTGCAGCAGGCGTGAGCAGCTTGTGTAGAAATGATGGTTCTAACTGTGGGCACTCGACAGCAAAGGCCGTTTCTAACCATGTGCCTCATTTTACAGCATCTCACGTGTTGTTCTGTTTTTTTCACAGATTTCAGACTTCAAGAATCATTCTTTTATCTCCCACAACTTCTTTTTCCGGAAAATGTAATGCAGAATAAAGATAATACCCTCGGTATGGTATATGTCAGGAATAGCATTGCGAACACTATGAAAATGATCTGCTTAGAATTCTTCTGCTCACTGAAAAATTGCATCAAATCTTCTATGAGATCATCTTCAATGTTGCCAGTACAGACTGTTTTGCATATATTTTCTTCCTAATTTTCTAATCTTAGATGATAGCATTCTTGAAATTGAATATTGATTAGCCACATAACGTGCTAAAATTTATGATATTCCTGTACAGTTCTATACACAAGGAACCTTTAGGGAGGAGAAAATGCAGTAGGTCAGTTTCTTTCTTCTTTATTGTCCTAAAGGTGTCAAAGAAGTTTATTGTTCTTTTCAGTTAGTATACTTACATATAAAAGAATTTCTAAGAATAGAGAATTTAATCATTCCTAGTTATTTCAGGTATTCCTAATGTGAATTAGGAATCTATGCCTTAACTGATACCTAGTTCTGATAGGTTCTGGCCCTAGTATAAATTGCTGGCTCCTCATGGTGGTCATCTAATATGGCTGAAGCCCTTAAAACAAAAGCCCATCTCCCCAACACCACCTCCGCCTTCTTCTCCAACTCAGTTCTGGGCGCAGTTTCCTTCCACCCTTCCAGCCACCTCA